GATCCCATTTTGTGGTTCAGGCATAATATGTGATGACAAGTACAGTAGTGTTATTAGTATATCCCAATCATATATGTATAACTCAGAAGTAGATGCCAGATATTGCTAAGTGTTCAAGACTTTTGACCCCAACTGTACATTTACCTCAAGGCCAAAGTGTGCATACGCATCTGCATAGGTGTTCAGGATCTCCTGCAGGTTGTGTTCAGTGTGAGCTACAAGGGTGAGTTCGTCTGCAAACTGAAGTTTAGTAATAGAAGCTACCGACACCTTTGTTCCTGCCTGGAGTCGTCTTATGTTGAAAAGACCCTTCATCAAGTACTTGATGTCCACCCCGCCGGCTAAATTTGCATTGGCATGAGTAAGGAAGGCAGCCAAGAAAATGGAAAACAGAGTTGGTGCCAGTACACACCCTTGTTTAGCCCCGTTTGGATGGGGAAGAACTCAGACTGGGTGCCATTGTGCAGGACACTGTCATTTATGTCATTGTGGAGTTGCCTCACAATGGAGATAAATTTTTGGGGTAGCCAAAACGGCTGAGGGTCCACCGGAGGGCTTCCCTGTTGACTGAGTCGAAGGCCTTGGTTAGGTCGATGAAGGCCATGTACAGGTCACGACGCTGTTCTCTGCACTTTTCCTGTATCTGGCAGGCAGCAAAGATCATGTCAGTGGTGCCACGTGATGTTCTAAAGCCACATTGAGATTCTGGGAGGAAGTTTTCCGCCTCAGGAAGAAGTCTGTTTAGGAGGACTCGGGCAATAATCTTGTCAGCTAAGGACAGCAGCTAGATCCCACGGTAGTTACCACAGGCTGACCGGTCTCCCTTGTTCTTATAAATATTGACGATGGAGGCGTCTTTAAGAGCTTGGGGGATTTCCTCCTTTTCCCATATATTTTCCAGGAGAGAGTGGAGACGGCTGGTAAGCAGAGGTCCTCCTGCTTTATACACCTCGGCTGGGATTCCACCAGGCCGTGAAGCTTTGTTATTTTTCATCTGTTTAATGGCAGTAGCTACCTCATCCAAGGATGGAGGATAGCTGAGGTGGGTCAGCTCTTGATGCTTTGGGGCCTGCTGGGTAGTCAGGACATTCACATCAGTGTTTCGGTTGAGCAGCGAATGGTAGTGCTCTTTCCAGTGCTGAAGGATGCCATCTTCGTCTTTAATTAGTGAGTTACCGTCAGATGAGCGGAGGGGGGCTGTGCCATGAGTGATTGGCCCATAAAATGTTTTGGTGGAATTGAAAAAATTGTGCATCTTGTGCTGATTTGCAAATTTTTGTGTTTCACATGTTTTATTTTTAAACCAGTTATTCTTTAGATTGTGAAGTTCCCGTTGGGCCGTCGCTTTCTTCTTGTGGAAGGTATCAGCTTTGGCCTGAGACTGAGGGTTGTTCTGCCAGTCAGTTAAAGCAGCATGTTTATCATCGATGAGTACATTGATTGCCGGGTCATTTCCTGGTGTTTTCTTTCGATCTGGCTGAGGGTCTCTGCAGGTTTTTGTCATGACATTGTTGAGAATATCCCATTCAGCACTGGGATTTGGGTTGTTCGTTGTCGGGATGTTTATCAGCCCACTTTCGAGCTGCTCTCTGAAATCTTGTGCTACCGCTGGATCCTCCAGACCCTTAGTGTTAAAACCTCTTCTAAAGGCTTTTTGCCTTTGCCGTTTTGGGGCGATGTGAAGTGAGAGCTTGACTCAGACAAGCTAATGATCTGAGTCTCTGGTCTGAGCCACGCATGGCACGGGTGATGCGGACATATTAGCGATCTCTTTCTCTGACAATGATGTGGTCAATGAGATGCCAGTGTTTGGATCGTAGGTGTTGCCACAAACCCTTGAACTTTTTGGCCTGCCTAAATAAGGTATTGGTGATAATGAGGCTGTGTGCAGCACACTTGCTGAGGAGGAGTAGGCCATTGGGATTACACTTACCTAGTCCATTTCTCCCTATGATTCCCTGCCAAATGTCAGCATCTCTACCAACTGTGTCATTGAAGTCACCAAGGAGCACAACCTTATCTTCTCTGGGGATAGAGGTTAGCACTCTGTCAAGGCCAGCGTAAAAGGCCTCCTTGAAGTCATCCTCTGCATCCAGTGTTGGGGCGTATGCACTGATGAAAAAGGCATGACGTGAGTGATTCAGTGGGACTCGGAGTGTCATGAGGTGCTCTTTGATCCCAATAGGCATTTCAGTTAGCCTCTGTAGGATGCATTGGCGGATGACAAAGCCAACTCCATAAATGCGGTTTCTCTCCACAGCAGGCTTACCCTTCCATAGCCAGACCCCCGTTCTGTGAGTTGACCTCATCTGGGAGCCGGGACTGACTAATGGCTGGTATGTCGATGTTATACCTTGCCAGCTCTTTTGCCATAAGGACAGTTCTTCTTTCAGGATGCTCATTTGTGCCAGTATCCAGAAGGGTCCTGACATTCCATGCAGCGACCATAAGAGGTTGTATAGTTTGTTTTTGTTTGAAACTGTGATTTTTATTGTGTTTTCGACTGCATAAGGATGACCTTACTGGGTGCAGTTGTCCAGTCAGGTTGGTTCTTTAGGCAGGCTATGTTTAGGGCACCTTTTCTCACCCCCTCCCCATGTGGGGTGAGCAGAGTGGCTCATCAAAACGGCTGCTCAGTAGCACAGACAGGACCGGATTCCACTGCTGCCTAGATCCCAGTGCATAAACAACCATCTTATCTATGCCGTCCATGTGCAGAGTTGTGACTTAGGACTCCCGGCAGTCATCTCTGCCTGTCCCCCTCGCCATTGGTCTTTTGAGGGGTATAGGGGTTTTGATGATAATGAGAGGTATGATGAGCTGGATGATGGCTGTGCGTGAGTTGATTTATGTGGTGAGGCAGGAGCGCAGGCTGCAACCACACATCTTGGCTCTCCCTTTTCCTAATCCAATGGTGCAAGTGTTGCAATGACCGGGGAGAGGATGAGTTGCAATGGAGTGCTGATAGCCCAGTTTATTGGGTTATCGCCTTAGTAGCCTGTCCATCATGCATTGCCTTCGTCCACCTGTGTAGTCGTTGGGTTCCCATGTTGGTCATCTCCTCTGCCGTTGGGGTCTTGTTGGAGCTCTGTAAGTATGTCTGCCTGATGTGGGGCTCCAAAACAGAATTTTCGTTCGAGGTTTAATCCCGTCGCCTTATACCTACCAAGGTTAATCCACAAGGCAGCGGGGCAGTGGTTGGTAGGCGCCAGGATGTGTCCACCTGTCAGTGGACCTATGTGCCGTCCCTCTGGGGCCCACTGCTAGTCTGAGATCCCCTACTGGTTTAGCCTGTTCCCACGAGGCACCCAGTTACCGTGTGTTGCCACAAGGAGGCACAGCAGGAGTCTTGATGGTGAAGAGGCTGTGTACTGGCAGGGGAAGACTTATGCAAGTTGCTTTCTTGTTCGCCACGAGGGCTAGCCAGCGGCAACAGCTGAAAGTGAGAGGAAGCAAGCAGTGCTTGCACCTTAACACTAACATAATGGTGCCACACTAGACACATTTCACCACCGTGTGTGCGAACACACACATACACATCCTTGACCACCGGAGGGTCAAGACCTATCAGGCGCTGCTCCTGCTGCCCTGGTCAATGTTGGTCCACTCCTCAAGCCCCTCTCCCCGACCCTTCCTCACCACCAGGATGTCAACATAATCCCGCCTAAAGTGAAAATTTCATTTTGGAAAGAAGTGGGACCAGTGTTGATCAGTGATGAACAGTGTTTAAGCCAGTGAATTCAGCACTAGACAGTACCAGTGAGAGCCATGACCCCCCAGTGAGGTCCACACCCAAAGATAAGCACCCCTGGGAACCAACCACCATCTTCTGACCAGGTGGTGTTAATCAGTCCACCCTGGGAACAACAGTGGGTCAGCTTTATACATGAGCAGAAGATAACACAACACCACTTAACAGAGAGTGAGGTACTGTGACACCACCCCACACTACACCACATGGTGTCTCCATGGCCATATGTCAACACCTATGGACGAGTTACTACACCACGTGAACACCACACCACCCAGTGTCTCCATGACCACGTGAGGTCCTTCATATCAACATCTATGGACGAGTTACCACACCACGTGGCCTACGTGATCTCACACAGTAGGGCAAGAGACCAGCCCTGGCCATCAACTGTAAACTATAATTTGAATGTTCAATTCGTGTTCCTTCTCCATCTAGTAATGAAAACTTTGTTAAACGACCCACCCACCCCATGTCTTTGTATGTAAGAACTCATTTTTGTCTAATGTATATTTTCAGCTTTCAGACTGTTGAACTTTTTCAATAAACCGTTAATAATAATAATAATAATAATAATAATAATAATAATAATAATAATAATTATTATTATTATTATTATTATTATTATTATTATTATTATTATTATTATTATCATCATTATCATTATCATCATTATCATCATCATCATCATCGTCATCATCATCATCAATGAATCATCATCAATCATCATCATCATCATCATCATCATCATCAGCAGCCAGAAAGTACTGTACAGTATAGTCTTTCTCTTAACAGCCATCACTACTCCAAAACTCCCGAACAGTACAACACAGCCAAGCATTTAATGTAAGGTTTCTGGTGACTGGGCTTGGAATGATGAGAAAAACCAATTTTGTTAGGATATCTGGTGCATACTCTGCCTACCCGGGATAGGTATAATCCACCTGACTTGTGACTGCATTTAGGGACCATTGACCTCTCTTCTGTAATCCACTTCCCCTACCTGTGGATTCTCTAACCTCGCTACACTCCTTACTGACCAGCTCAGGTCACCTCCTAGCAACTAAAGTGTCTGACCTGCTGTACCGAAATCACTTAATTTTGTAAGGTCTTTAGTGTATCAGGGAAATGATTGAACAGTATTGAGGTTATGGTAATGTTATTAAAGACAAATAATATTGTGGCCTTTTTCTGTTGCATTAAGTGTGTTGAGTTGGGTACTAATATAAGTGAATTTTCCATGTTGCAGACCACTGACATGACGGAAAGATGAGTGATCAGAAGCTACAAGAGACCTGGACCTCCTTTGCTCAGACAGAACCAGGGAATGTTGTGGTTAGTTGCTGGTGGCCATTGTGTTGCTTCAAAATACTGTAGGAGTTTCATTAAGAATTACATGTACTGTTATATAGTTTGTACAGTATAATTTAATATACTGGGAGTTTCATTACATAATTGTATTTATTGTCTGAGCTCTTATTCTTTCACTGTCCACATTTTGCACCATTCACATCCATTCGTTTTCGTCCTTCTCTGAGAAGAATAAGAATATGCTGTGTACAGTATCTATAAATGTTACAGTAAAGAATTCACCTCAAAAGTAAAAAACAAAACAAAACGAAAAATAAATAAGAAATTAAGTGAAGATAGTTTGAGGATTATTGTTAAGACTAACTTGTAGTGTGTAAACTGTGGTAGCTATGTGTTTACAGTACTGGAGATGCATATTGTAAGTTGGATTAGATTGTTGTGATTAGTTTAGTACAATGTTTTTGCTGAATTTTGAACTGAGAGTTAACCTGTTCACCAGCACACTACTTGAATTCTTCTGTCCTTACCATGGAAGTACTAGTATGGTTATTACCCTCAATTTCTAATTTATAATTGAGATAGGACACACTGGGCCATAGGTATTTATTAACCAGTAAATCTACAGACAGTTCCAGGTTAAATCCATAATAGTAATGTAAGGATTATTTGTAACTTTCCACTGTAACCAGAGCCTTAACCCTTAAACAGTGGCCATCACCAGAGGAAGTTAGCTCAAGGGTTGGTGGCCATCATCAGTTGATGTTTTGTGTTCCTTACATTCCATTTTTGCACATATGGAGGCAGAGTAGGGAATCGTTAGTTATCATTTATGGGTTAAAAGAGGTCATCACAGAAACAAGATTTACCTAATGAAGTAGAAGACTATCAGACTGAGCCACTTAAGTAGCCCATCAGTCCATTATTTGGTTACAACTGGAAATTCACATAAACAATCCTTGCTTCGGTGTCAGGTACCTTGTTAGACTGTTGAGAAGAGGGAGGTATCCAAGTCACTTAAATCACTATACAGTGGGTTTTTAGAAGCCAGCACCTATTGCTATGTGGTGTGCACCGTACTAGGGAAGATAAAATAATCTGGAGGAAAATACTAACCCGATATAATATACTTACCAAACCACACAATCAATCTACAAAATCTCTGCATTTAGATAACAGTACCTCCTTGTAAGCTTAATGGACATCACAGCACCTCCTTGTAAGCTTAATGGACATAACCTTCATAAAGACCAACAATGATGCAGTGCCCCTGATGCCACGTGCCTTTACTGAGCACTCGTTAAACTACTCTACTGTACTGTACCTCCTTCCCAACTTTCTTATTAAGACCAAAAAGGAATCTGAGTAAGATTTGTATGAAGCTGAGGGAAGAGTGAACCAAGTCCTGTGGCCAAAAGTTGACCTTGCAAGTATTCTGTTATTGTTAGAAATTCTGATTGAGGAACTACAAAAAATAAATTTGTTTCCAACTCATTAGACCCAAATGAAGGCACCTGTCATTCTGGACCACTGATGAGGAATTGGTGATGCATTACAAACAGGTCTATTATTGGGTTTGCCCTCACACATAGAATCCACAAGAATGACCTCCAAACTTTTAGTTGGTCTGACCTTCTTCCTTCACAAACCAACTATTCTTACACCAGTATCCTCACAACATAAGTGGCCGTAATGGAGCAGGAAAATTCCCAAAACATCTTAAACATCACTTTGGGTGTCTCCCTTAGGGGATAGTATTTGGATAATCTATTAATATGATACACACTACTGTGACCATGTACAGTACAGTACCTGTAGTCTGTAAAAATATATGGTCCTCCCTGAAGCTCTTTGATCCTGCTTCTAAGGCAGGAAAATGGTACTGGCTGGTTCAGTTTACAATTGTACCCACAAACACCAACATTCTTTTAAGTGTCTTGCATTGTCTGTGATTTTTTTGTTCAAGAGAAGTCACAGTTCTTTGCTTAGCAAAAGAACCGAGTTTGTCAGAAGACTAACCTTCTTCACTAAAGTAACTTTTACATAAGGTCTCTCCAAATTACCATACAACGCTGAATGGACCATTGGCTCCAGTGCTTGGCTTTGAGCTTAAAGTTCATAAATCAATCAATCAATCAATCAATCCCCTAAAGTAGCTTTCAGCTTGTGAATAGGGTGATATATATATTGTAATGTTCAGTGTTTGAGAATATGTTAATAAGGCATACTGTACTGTACCAGTTTTGTTCATATCAAACATTATACAGTATAATATCTTATTCCTTGTAATGTGGTTGTTTACAGGAACGTCAGAGCCACCTGGATGACTTTTTAGGGCTGCTGTTGTCGTCATCAAAGGAGGAAATTCCTCTCTCTAATCTTCTCCATTTCAGGTATGTTGATTGACTCTTTATACTATCTAAAATAGGGAAGCACATTGTAGCTGCCTTGTATACTTCTCTTATACTTCCTTTTCAGCCCTTAATTCTTTAAGCAGTTGAGGAAATCAGTGGGAGTATTGCTCCAAAGTGTCTATTAATAAAATAGTGTACAGTTAACCCTCACTTTACGCGGTTAATGTAACCCGGAGGGTCCCGCGTAAAGTGAGAAACGTGTAAAGTGAATAACATAACATATGGGATTAATTGAAATGGAGTCCGGGCCGATCCCCAAACTCCACTTTTTGACGACACACAACTATGTTGAAATAAAAATATTAACTTAACTTTATGATGGTATGCACACACAATTAATAATTAAGAGAAATATCAATAATATTAGGTTTTTTAACACTTACATTAGTAGAAAAAATGGCTGGGCACACGGGGATGGGCAGTTGGTTCCGAGGCAGAGGGCAGATTATTGGCCCTCACCTGTGTCACTTGTATCAATTGTATCACTATCCACCACAGAGGCTTGCAGGGCCTCTTTGTCAAACTCCCCAAAGTCCATATAAGTCCATATCCTCACCATAATTATCACTATCACTGACTTGGGCCGGCTGTGGTGGGTGGGTGAAGAACTGGTAATGTTTTGATGACTGGGCGACCTTGTGCGCACCATGTTCGCGCCGCTTACACAACATGGCGGATGGCGGGAGGTTTGGATCCAAAAATGGCGCGGCTCGCCAGCCGCTCTCCGCGTAAAGGGGTACACGCACCGCGGAATGTGAGCATCCTGGGTTCCGGCAGGGCACCGCGTAAACGTGGAAACGCGGAATGTGGGACCGCGTAAAGTGAGGGTTAACTGTATTATATTCTAACTTCATGGTAAGTTAAAGTCAAAGTCATTTTTAAGGTATAGAGATGTTTGTTGGGGGAAAAAGTGGTTATTTTTGTGTTAGTTCATCTTGTAAGGAACACTTGTTGGTGTTGTCAACATCTTGCTGATACAGAAATGTTTTACAATTGTCTTATTGTCAGCACTTAACCATTTATGAAATAATGCATCAGTAAAAACTATATATGTTTCTAATTTACTGTAGTGTTAGTAAATGGTAAAACATGGTGAAACTACCATGTGTTTAGACTGTGAAGGAAGAGATGGCAGAGCAGGACAACCTATAAGATATTTAGAGGATTTATCAAGTGATGTATGCTGGCTTATAAGATGAAGTACCATTAATCTGGATATATATGTTATTAAGAGTTATTCAGGTGGCATTTGATGAAAAATAGTGCTAATAAATGATGAGTCTAGTTAATTAAGAGAGCCGGAGTATTTAAACGTATCATTCTTGTCGCTTATTCTCTAAGTACGTACCAGCAGTAGGCACATGAATACAGTGGGGTATGCTATAACGAACGTAATTGGTTCCAGAACCTAGTTCGTTATAGCATTCGTTCGTTATAGGATTAATCCGTTCCAGGCCCCCAAATACAACCACTTAACACTGGAAAAATTCTGTGGAAAATGTAAAAAATACGGTACTTTATCTTACCTTAGTGTTATTCAGCATGCAGGTACCCCTAAACACTGGCACATCACTATCACTTCCACTGGGAGTCTTGGCTTTAAGGTCCTCAAACAATTGTCTGGCTTTCTCACAAATTATAGCTTCACTAATGTTACCACCTGCCATTTCTTTCTCCTTTATCCACACTAAGAGTAAATTTTCCATCTCTTCAATCACATTACACTTTGCTTTGCTAAGTCTAAAGATTCCCTTAGCCACTTGCACAGTTTTTAACTCCTCTTTATTCTTCAAAATCGTACATATAGTCGATTTAGCCATCCCATATTCATCACTAAGTTTCGCAATGCTTCTTCCATTCTCACGTTTCTTTATAATTTCTTTCTTAGTTTCAAGGGTTATTAGCTTTCTCACTCGCTTTGGACGACTCATTGTTACAATTGTATATTTGTATAACAAAATAGTTATACAAATAACGCGAATTTCCACATCAAAAGACGAAATTTCAACAATAACAGTGGTGCACTGGCTACACAATGAGACAAAGATGGCGCCTGACGCTCTTGTTGTGGGTCGCGGTACAACAATATTCATGCGCCAGGCGAAATAGTCCCGTATTCATCCGCGTTCGTTGTAGGAGTTGCGTTCGTTATAGCATTCTCAATTTTATAGGTAAAACCGTTCGTTATAGGAATATTCGTAGTGGGATCCGTTCGTTATAGCATACCCCACTGTAGTTATCCCCAGTAAACAGAACAATCTTTTCGCCAGTTGATATTAAGAATCTCACCCATTTCTCTGTAAAATGCTTGAAATAATATTACGATTTGCTGTTTGTGGTCAACCATTGTATTTTGAAGCAACATTGTTACTTTCATTGGTTGGAAAATACAAAATTAATTTATTTATATTTTCCTTTACTTTGGGAACGTTTGGAGAGAATCATATCAAAGAAGATAGTGGACTGTTGGGAATGGTGGAGCCAACATTACTACAGTACTGTACTGTATAGGGGTTTGAAACATGGACTCTGGATATAAGAGGAAGAAGTATGTTAGAAATGGCAGAAAGGATGTGTTTGAGGGCAGTGATGGGGGGGTGAATACAAGGTCAATAATGTGAAACTTGGAGGTAAGGAGATGTGGAAGTGACATGAGGGATGGCCAGGGTGTACAAAAGTGGTGTGGGTGCATTGAGAGAATTGGGAATAAGACTTGGCATAAAAAGTATTTACAGTAATTTAGCTGTGGATGGTTTAAGAGAGAGTGAACGACCAAGAAGGAGGCGAGGGAGGTGCTTAGTAGAAGGAGGATGGTGAATGGGATGAGGGAGGTACAGTTGTACAGTATTAGTCCCTGTCAAACAGACATTAATGCTTATATAAATGTAGGTTACTTACATTAGGTTTATATAATTACATCACCCACGGTAACTATAGTGCGTTTTTTCTCCGCTGAGAAAAGATGCCCCGCCCCCTCCTTAAGAGTTACAGCTGATTGGCTGTTGCAAATCTGTTCGATTTCGTCCTGAAGTAATGATGTAGTATTTCTAAATGAGTTTATTCATAATCGTTGGGATGACCGTTTCTGATAGAAAGATATTTAGCTAAATTATTTAAAGATATATACATACAATATTACAAACAGGAGTATGAATGCCACACCATTGCAGCCATGGTTAATTGTCAAGGCAAGTGGAGAAGTACAATGTGCCCATTGTAATTGTATGGCCATTCTAGGAGAAGCCTGTAGCCATGTTAGTGCTTTACTATTTTTTTTTTAGAAGCCACCACCAAACTGCAAGATTCACAGACTGTCACACAAGCCAAGGCATATTGGATGCTACCATCTTATGGACTCGGATCATTAGGTAGAAGAATTTATACATTTATAAGAGCATTTATATATACTTTCATCAACTGCCATGTCACACATTTGCATGCATACCCACACATGGACATGCAATAATGTACATGTAGGCCTCGGCCTTACATTGAGATACCTGTAAGCATTTTAAACGCCTATAGTATACAGTGGAGTGAGTCTGTGATACACTATTATTGATGGACGATTATTTGTAGAAGAAAATGTTGTTGATATGATAGTAACTAAATACATTATGTATTTATTATGCCTACCTTCAATGAAATGGTCAGAACAAACTTTGGAATGTTTGGAAGGCAACCACCCATTTCTCTCTACCCTAGAAACCCACAAATCCTTCCTCTTTGTAGACAATTCCTGTTTTATCTCCTTGATTAAAAATGACAGCAGGAATAGAGTCTTTCTTCTTAGATGTATTGTGGCATCCGACAAGGACACATGAATTCACCGTTATTTAGAACTTATGTATACAAAGTGTGTTTGTTTATGATAGCGATCACTCTAGCGTGTCCCGTCTATACCTATAAGATGGCGGACCGTGCAAAGGATTATGGGAGTTGTGATGGCAATGCAAACTAAGAATACCTTCAGAGTATAAATGACTATTAGTTTTCTTATAAATACTAGGGAAAAAGGTAACAGGAAATGTTTATTTATTTAAGCTTACTGTATAGTTCATCTAAAGCAAAAAAATTTGTTGTTAATGTTTCCCTCTATCAGGCATCGTCTATCGAGGTGGCGAATGGAAAATATTTGTTTACATACGGTATTCATTAAAGACATGGTGTAAATGGGGGTGAGTATGAATATTATTTAAATTCATATTTTTTATTCAATATTCATTTCACCTTAACGCAATTAATGTATACAGTACCTTGTCATTTGGAAGTTCAATTTTAACTCTGCAAATTATTCCTGAATGTCCCGAGCGATAATCTATTATGTTTCCACCTTGAAAAATTATAGCAAAAATAAAGTGAGTTTTGTAGTTGCCAGATACCACTTTTTATTTAAAGTTTCTGGATATCGTGATATTATTCATTTGGGCATTTGTACTGTACCTGTTGTGCATGTAATAGTGGATACAGTAGAAGTCCAAAAATCCGGACTGCTTGGGGATTGGGTCGGTCCGGATTTTCGGATTTTCCGGATTCTCAGGCAGTACTTTTAAAATTAAAATTTAAGGAGGAATAAAGAAGAGATGAACAGGTACATTTTGATAGTTTATTCATTAGCAAATAAAGCATGCTTCATTTTTCAAAACGAGCAGTTTTAAAGAAAAATAAAGTCAACACTAGACAAAAATGTAAACAAACTGTCTAATACCATGACGAGTCTTGAAATTCCTAAGCCATCCATCACTAAATGTGCACTCTGATTCAATGTTCATTTGCTCCTTAAAAGACTTTGCTTTGGCAATAAGCATTGGCCCAGAAATTGCTATACCTTCTGATCGTTTTAACAAAAACCATTCGTGCAACACTTTATCAAGATTTTTTTAATTTGGGCCAATGTAAACTTTTTCTTTCAGCAATTTTAATGTAAGGCTCAGAAGAAGCTGTGAATTCTAGAGTTTTATTCTTTGCCTCTTTTATATCATAAATTGTAGACTTTCCAATGTTGTATGTTTCCATTAGAACAGCATTGCTCACATTACATTCTAGTTTCTTAATTATTTCAAGTTTGTCACTCAGTTTCAATGTGTTCTTCTTTCTCTTCACACAACGAAGTTTATCTACTTTAGGGGCCATTATTATGGGCTTGTACTCTGTACATGGAAACAGTAGGACTCAAAATTACATACGTTGTCACAGTTTGATTGCTTGTTTTAAAGTGGCGATCGTGTGGTCGTTTGTTGTCGCTGTGCAGCTGTGGCATTCACGCATGCACACATACACACAAAAGATTGATAGTGCCTCAAATTTTACATTTCAGTTCAAGCTAATTACAAAACTAACAAAATTAGCTACCTATAATTTACAATTACTTTTATTATTAGAATTATGTAAATTAATTTTTTAAAGCAACTCCATTCATTCACATAACCCACAAAAGCCCGCTAGATTTAAAAAGTTTGAGCTTTCGAAAAGTCCGGATTCTCGGGGGGTCCGGATTCCTGGCATCCGGATTTTTGGACTTTTACTGTATATACTTTTTTATTGGGATAGATTTAACTTCTTTCAACTGAGGTACAGTAATTTAGGAATTGTATACTATTTTTGAAGTAATCTGTCATCATCCCCAAATATTTCGGAGCAACCCCTAGTGGCAGACTTGTCATTTCCATTTTTTTTGATGGTTTGTATACCTGTTATTTCCTCTTGCATATTACTATCATAAACAAGAAAGCTTTAATATATATATTTTGTTTTCAGTGATGTAGGAAGTGTAGTAAGTCTTCTGGGTGGACAGTTCCTGGCAGATATTGAGCACATTTGCCTCGGTTCAGTAAGTTATGATAGCGATGCATCCTCGAGTGCAACATCTCGATCGGTGGAGTCCATTATCAGCGATGCTTCTCAAGTGAGTGATGGTTCAAGAGGATGTCGACCCAGAGTGACAAAAAGACCATCAACTGGGAGAAGTCATTCCTTCAAGGCCTCTCTCAGCTTGTCTCAGGCATTTCAAGATAGTGATAATGATAAGTGTTTTTCAGAGTTGCTACCAGTAAACCTAGACCAAGCCAAAGAACAAACTCAGAGGACGGGTGGTGAGGGTCTTGAGTGCACAAAAACCGAGAGACTTAAAAGTTCAAATACTGTACAAGCAGAAACTAACAAACAGGAGGAGTTAGAGAGTATAAGAATTGGTGACGGTGGACAGTGTGAAAGTGAATCCCTAGGTAATGAAACTGTACATACACCTCAGGACATTTATAATCAAAATTCTTGTTTTAAAAATGGTGAAAGTGCAGTAGATATAAGTAATGAATCGTCTATACTAAAACCCGAATCCACATTGGTGTCACATGAGGCAGACAATACCGCAACACAAGGCATCGCTGAATCATCTTCTGCGGTACCCAAGTCCTCCTTACACAGTAACGCAAACGTATCGTCAAGTCCTATTGTCAATGATCCGGCACCTGCGGCTTCCACGACCGGCACAGGGCAAGATCTGGGTCAGGGTAATGAGGCACAGAATGCAATCTTCTTGAAACATTATCTTCTGCATGGATGTGGAGCAAAGATTTTGATCGCTCTTGATCAGCTTGGAGTAGCGGTAAGTTCTTTACTGTGAAGGTTTATATCATGCTTGGCTGTCAGACAAAAATATTGATTACTTTACATCTGGTTTCTCTTTGTTTAGATGACCATATTGCTTATGTTTGATCACTATTTAATCTTTTCCTAAGTTCTGTATGGCCGATAAAATTAATTCTTTTGGAGACAGATTGTACATAGAGTTCTTGAGGTGTTTATTAAGTTGGTTGCTTCTGCTTTTTACATTAAATTTACCAGGTAATGAGGGATCATCCTAAAAGCAATTTACCAATGTTAAGGATTGCCTCACTGTAATGCAACAAAAATTTCACTTAGGATAGATAATAATGGAAGAGCTGACTTAAACCCTGATGTGTTACAGCTACCATGTTAACAACCACACTTTCCTGTAATTTGAGAAACAATCCAAACCTTTAATAGTCCATGTGAAGTGATATTTGAAACCCTCTGTGAAATAGATGTGTCTTTTTAAGGTATAAGTTGCCATTGTTATTTAACTTTCAAGCTAGAATATTGTGTCATTAACCAAGCACTCAACTTGTGATCAACATATAAATACTGTACAGTAGTAGTACAGTATATATATATATATATATATATATATATATATATATATATATATATATATATATATATATATATATATATATATATATATATATATATATATATATATATATATATATATATATATATATATATATATATATATATGCTCAGAGTTAGGGAGTATACATAATACACTGTGCCCAGACTTGTTTATTCCTTATCTTTTCAGGGTTTGACAGGAGGAAGGGAGATTAGTCACGTTCTTGCATTTATCTTTACCTTCATGCTCAAGAATGCTACTGGCGATGAAGCTCCTAAGTCAAGTTATTTTCAAATGAAAAGTCAGAAAGGTTTCCATGAGAAGAGACTGGGAAGCACCACATATAGGGGACAACATAATAGTAGTTCAAGTAATTCAATCTCTGAGAGAAGCCAAGAAGTGCCCCTGGACCAATCTTGCTTCAAATATGAGCCCTCAGTCAATCTCTGTATGAGTGACATATTTGCAGCCAGTATTCACCCATCCTATGCCAAAACCAATGTGACTTTACGAGGGAGTAATATATCTGTTCCCCAAATGTGGATACAGACATCTGGTTCAAAAAGTAGCAGCCTGTCAAGCTGTCAGAGCGGGAAGAAGTTTGGAAAGAAACGAAGGAAGAGATACTCAAAGTGTATTCCTCTGGTTAACTCGGACTCAGAGGGAGATGAGAATCCCAAGAGCAGTAGGCTTAGCAAAGCTCTTGTAAAATTCACAATGAACCCCAATGACTTTGATTATTTTACACATGTAGTATACAGCGATGAGGACAAGTGTCACGAGACGGAGACGGATCAGACGACGAGTGGTGCCCCAAGTGAAAAGATCTGCATACATGAGAATTCGCTGTGTTTGTCCGTTAAAGAACTTCTTCGGTGCATCATATCAATACAGACACAGTTAACTGTACACGAGGCCGAGTTAAAACATCTGTCCTCTCCATTGCTTGCCACACATGATATTCTGCAGTTCTCTCTTGACACATTTACTTCTATGATATCTGAGTTAAAGCTGCTGGAAGAGAAAAGAGATGAAGTAATGGACATGCAAATGGTGTTAATGGGAATGATAAAACTGGTGTTTTCATCTGTTCAGAGGTTCCTTAAATCAAGTGACTTATTGCTAACAATAACTGGAATGTGTGTTGTCCCTAAGTTACTAAATTTAGTTTCTATTTTACTTGACTTCAGGAATGATCCAGTAAATATTGTGAGGAATGATGCTGACCTGAGAACCAGAGTTAAGAATGAAACAAATGTGTTGGATGTCACTCGAGCTTGTCTGGCACATGAGATAGTGGTAGGATTGCTCTTCATGCTGCAGAGTTGTACATGTTTGAAAGTTGAATGGAAGGATGTGTGGCAGTGCCTTCACCTTCACAAAATCTTCCTTCAAAATAATGGGCCGGAAATCACAAAGAAAGTTATATTTTTGAGCCATCTGTTATCTCTTAATAAGCGAACCGAAGTACTAAATTCTCTTAGCAAGTTGGTGCTCTACATGAAGTACTGGCGTGAAGACGTTTACCACTCGGAGAAATGCGACAAAAAGACACACAGATTTTGTGAGTATCAGGCTGTCCAGAATCATCATTCACAAGTGTTAGGAACAAGTTCATGCATTATAAAGACAATAGACCCTAATGCCTGTATGGTATCTAATTTTGTGTGTGTATTACTTGACTGCTTTGCTTCTAGTGAAGAACATGAAATTTATGCTTCCTCAATTAAAGCTCTTACAAAGTGTGGCCTTTGCTGCTGTATGACCACCAGAATGATATTTAGTAAACTTTTACAAGAGTTTGTTTGTAATATACCACAAATAGTATCATATGTCACAGTATTTATTGAGAATATTGTATGGCGTGATCTTAGTGGTTACATGATGGCAGACACCATCAGATGTGCTTTCTGTCAAATGCCTGAACATCTAGGGGGAGGAGTGAATCCCTTTTGTGCAGAATTTGCCTCTGATGAATCATTTTCATTAACATTTGGTGCAAAAGATAAGGGATGTTTTCATCAGTATAAGAATTACCATATAGAGGCTCATGATCACAATAGTTCAGTTTCTTCCTCCCATTGGGAGGGCATAGCTCTATACAAAAAATTCCTCTTTGATACGGGCATAAGTTCAAAAATTATGGGCCACATTATCAGACTTATCTCACAGAGCAGTGTGGAAGTCAAATTAGAAATGTGTGAATATCTGATTGTTCCTGTTCTGAAGCAAATATGTGATCAAGGCATTCAAAACTATCTAACCAGTGCAGAATATGAAAAGGAGGTGTTGGTGGGTCTCATGAAATGTTATCGATTAACATTGGCAGATTCATGTGATCAAAAATTGATTAAGTTTCTGGAGTGTTATGGATCTGGGCTCATAACTGTGTGTAAAGAAATTCCAGACATTAGACATGAAGCCTTTGCCTTGCTCTGTAATGTAGTTAAGAAAGAACTGAAAACAAAACCCGACATGCCAGTTTTATCAGATAAGGATGAAGAGAATAACTTGGTCTTCACCAAAATGTTTGAATGGGAAGTTATTGAACATGATGAGTTTTGGTCAGCATATTTTGGAATGAAAGCCGAGGAAGTACGGCAGAGATTCTTTATTCACACTCGCATCAATGTGGAACGTAACATGCAAGAATGCAAGGAAAATTCAAAACACATGGACCAAGGTGTTGCTGAATACGAACAAAAAAATTATGTTGCAAAGGAAAGTTCTGTAATGGTAGAAGAAGCAGTGGAGGAAGAAAGAGGGAGAATATATGGAGATACAGATGTTGCACAAGAAGCAGAAAGTGAAACAGCGAAAATTAATCTCAGCCCTGAATCACCACACTCTTCTACCAGCCTATCTTGTGCTCTGGATGCTTTAACTACAGGTGAAATTGTTACTGAGGAAACCTTGGTTAATGACACATCCTCTATACAGCTTCCCACAAGCAGGTCCTTGTGTGAAGATCCTGTAGAGGATGGTGAAATCTACACAAGGGAACCCGAAGTCAGTGCAGGATCCCCCCAGTTATCAGTCAGTCAGTCCACTTCTGTTGACACTTTGAAGGACGATGAAAATGGCAGTAAGAAACTCCACATAAGTGCAGGATCCTCACAACCTTCTACCAGCAAGTCCACTTCTGTAGATACTGTAAAGGAAGCTGAAAGTTTTGCCACTAAGAAAACCACAGTCAATGCTAGATCTTCCATTGATGAGTCGGATGAGGAAGGTATCAAGGTGTGTGAATGTGCGAGTCTTTTTTTACATGTAATTTTTTTATATTTGTGTATAGAAATCAGTTAATGACTATATTCACAAAGTACAGTATTTTCTTGATTTAATGAACTAATTCGAGCCACCCCTGTTTGTTAGATCAAAATTTCTGCTAAATCGTCCTTTCCATTATGTTCGCTCGATTTACCGAACAATTCACTAAATTGAACGTGATTCCATTAAATTCTGCGCCAAATGCGCTACTCATCGCTTGGGGTTTGTTTACATCCGCACAGTCTGTGTCCTGCTGCCACCGCGTGTGTTGTTCACCGTTACCTCTTGGTCTACCTCGTTAAGGTGGACAAAATTATTTGCCCCCAAAATAATTAAAAAATTAAAATGATTAAAATTAAACAAAAAAAGTAGAACAAAATTTGTCCTCATATGACATGTCCGCCTTGAGCCAGAACTTCAAGGCATCAGCGTGCAGGACACAGGTGCCTGAGATTTATCAATTGTTGTTTGTGGGAATATTATTTCATTCACTCTAGTAATTATACAATATTTCTTATTATGTTATCGTAGGTAAATGTAAGGTTTATAAAATTTATTTGTCACTGTCTGTCACCGTTTTCAAATTGGACTACAAGATATTTATGTATTTCACCCATACGTATTTCGATCGTATGCCTGGCAAGGAGAATGTGTCATGTGACTGCTAGTTGAGCGTAGTCTGCTCTTGTAACTCTCCTCACTCCCTGCCGTATTTCACTGGATTTACTGTTATTATTAGTGTTTACTGATATAATAATGCTTAACCCATAAAAGGTTATATCATTATACATACATGGTATCTCCCGGGTTGGGAAAAATCAAATTTTTACTTTAATGCCTAAACGCCCACAAAATGACATAAGAAAACAAGTAACTTGTCTCGTTTATAGTGTTGTGCAGCATTTAAATCCTGGGCTGGTGCAGTATTGCCAAGCCTACTGGCTCACAGTGGTGTCACAGTACTTCCGGTCAGTCTTGCAGCCATATATATAACTAATGATTTGAAATAAAAATAAAAATAAAAAATTAATGTAGCAGCATAGCAAATGAAACAAAAAAAAGTTTATGAAACCTTAAATTTTTGTGAATATTATTTGCTCATATTATACTCAGATTACTATGGCAATATGCACTGCAGGATGGAGAAAGTGTAAATTATTTAGGATTATTTGTAAGAGTGAAATTAATGAAAATACTTAATAACTTGATACAACTTTATAGTTTGAGAGAGACTGTGTGTTTGTCCAGAGTCTGTCGTGTAGAGGACGTGTGTATTTACCCCAGAGAGAGAGCCAGCCTTCTCATTAAAAGGAAGTACTAGTGACTCCCTAGCAATTCTCCCCACCCCCTGCAGTGCCAGTGGTCCCCAACCTCTTGTAGGCTCTAGGCCACATTTATCATTGTAAATGCAGTAATACCCCGCTTAGCGCGATTTCACGTATACGCGGTGCCTCGCCAGAGCCGAACTTTCACTTAACGCGGGTTTTTTCCACGTATACGCGCAGAGTGTCCGGCTCGAGACGCTATTTTTAGATTCGCGCCACCTGCCTGCCTGCCTGCTCTTGCCTCTCCCTCCTCCCTCCCTCCCTCCCGCCTCCCTCCCTCCGCCTGGGCAAGCCGCGCTGTAAGGTTGCGCAGTGTGTGTCTTCTACTAACGTAAGTGTTACACCTAACTTTTAGTTTTCCTAACCTAACCTTTATTTTTCCTAACTTAACCTTTATTTTTCCTAACCTAACCTTTATTTTTCCTAACCTAACCTCTTCTATATTACTTGTTTGTTCATACCATCATAAAGTTAAGATAAAATTTTTACTACAACATAGTTGTGTGTCGTCAAAAAGTGGAGTTTGGGGGTCGGGCCAGTTTCTATTGGAATTAATCCCATATGTTCTGTTGTTCACTTAGCGCGGTTTTCACTTAACACGGTACCTTGTGGGTTCTATTGACCGCGTTAAGCGGGGTACTACTGTATAGTGGAGGACACATACACATACACACACACACATACACACACACACACACACACACACACACACACACACTCACTCTGGTACCGTGCCCTCCACTATACTGTATTTACAATGATAAATGTGGCCTAGAGCCTACAAGAGGTTGGGGAGCATTGCTAGGGAACCAGCATCCAAGCTGTTGACTATTACTATGGTGAAACATGAAGTGAATGCAAATGGCGGCTGTGTTAAACTTTAATTTGGCTATTATTTACAGTAATGTATTTTTTGTTGGTTATTTTTATTTATTCCTCACGTTTCCTGGTGTGAGCTTATTAACGAATTTAATCCCGATTTAGCGAACTAGTTCATTAAATCGAGCAAAAAGTAACAGAAAATGCCTTCCGCTAAATGGAGAGTATACTGTACAAGTACTGTATAAATGAAGTAATGAGTATTCAAAGTAAGAAGATTTTGTTTTATATTTTGAGCTTACCATCATTATGCTTCTACTTTTTCAGAAAATGAACATGGAGTTACTAGTAATTAGATATGAAGGACTTGGTGAACTTTGGGCTGCAATAACAGAAGTTTTGCAGACAAGCACAGAGTTTCAGGCATACTTGGCAGCATCTTCAGTGAGGTCCCTTGTAGCACCACTGTTGATAAACATTACACAGGATCTAGCACGTTCATCCTCTGGTAAGTGTCATGGTGAATAAGATGTTCTGTACTTATATGAGGTAAAAACAAAACAATTTCACAGGAACAAGTACAATTATTTACTGGAAAATAGGAAGAATATAGGTAGGAGGAGGAAATATTTCAAATATGATTGCATGGAATTGTTGATTGCAAAACAGTATTCAAAGTTTTGCTGCACTGCTGACTGTGCAAAGAATCTATATATAAACTATACTGTACTTTACAGCATGCCCTTAAAATTTGCAGATTTTGAATTCGTGGCCTTTGATTATTTGTAGATGACACCCTGAATGTACCCAAGAATGTGTACAGGTAGTTTTTAAGTTGGCAGCATTTTCACAGCCGGGACGGGGAGCCCGTAAGTTTTATGGTGTCCTGCAAGGTGTCTCTCTTGTACCAGGTGGCTGGGCCACTCACTCTGCCTCAGTGACAGTCTGGGTTGAACACTTGTCTGTTTCACCTGTGTGTTACTGTGCTCCTTGTGATGGCTCCCTCAACCACCTTCATCAAGCCACAGGAAGGTGCACAAACAAGTGAAGAGAAGGTCATGTATTTCTCCCATACTGGCTACTGGAGTGAGTGACTGCTAGTTAGTGTGTTGTCTGCAGTTGTAACTCTCCTCACTCCCTGCCATATTTAACTGGATTTACCGTTATTATTAGTGTTTACTGATAGAACTGTTTAATAGTGATTAATCATGTCATTGTATCTAGGTTAGCTCATCATTGTAACCACCAGGCTACTGGGCCAAGCTGTGAGGTGTTATGGTTTTTTCAACTCATATTTTTGGGTAGATATACGTAACTTTCTTCATTTATTTTTACTCAGTTACATGCACACACCATCCTACATACATATTGTGTAAAAAGGTAAAAGAAATAATTATCCTAAGGGCAAACACATAATGGGAGGACAGCACAGAGTGTAGCTGGTGGGGAGTGTTGCTAGGGAATCGGCGTTCCAGCTGGTCTTCGTTACTATGGTGGAGCAGGGAGAGTATCTAAATGGTGACTGTGTTAAACTTTCATTTGGCTTTTATTTACTGGTTTGGCAATAGTAGTTTTTTTTTTAACCTATTTATTGTTTTTTTGTTTTGTTTTTTATTCCTCACATTTCCTGGTACTGTATACAGGGGGTCCCCAGTTTATGAATGTCTGACTTATGAACACCCGCCGATATGAATGAGGTCCCATAAGAGCAATTATTTTATAAATCCGACAAAAGTACAGTACAATGGTTTGTAGCGGTTACGTACAAGAACTAGTTTGCGTGACGTAGAGGGGAGACAGCAGCGCGTAAGGAGTGATCACCACCCAGCCACACACCTTGAGGGAGCATCAGTATGCTTCATCCTCACTGCCTTAACGTGTGTGATCAAGTGCAAAATGTTGTTTTTTTGCTTATTAACTCTCTATTTTGGCCCTTAATCATGGCTCCCAAACACAAACCTGATGCAAGTTATAGTAGTGCACCCAAGAACAGGAAAAATCATTATAATGGAAGTGAAAGTTGATGTAATTAAATGTTCTGATAAAGGCCAAACACCCTCGGTGATCAGTAAGGCGTTGGGCTTCAGTTGCTCAACAGTTGCAACAATTTTGAAAGACAAAGAGAAAATTCTTGAACATGTTAAAGGATCTACACCAATGCAGTCAACTGTGATAACAAAACAAAGAAGTGGATTGTTAATTGAAATGGAAAGATTGTCAGTGATATGGGTGGAAGATAAAAATCAACGATGTTTGCCTCTAAGTTTAGCCTTGATTCAGGAAAAAGTGAGAAGCTTGCACGCTGACTTGAAGGCTATATGTGGTGGTGAAAGTGATGGAGAAGATTTTGTTGCTAGTAAGGGCTGGCTTAACTGGTTCAAGGTAAGGGCAAATGGTGTCTGGAAAAAACTCTGCCCACAGTTTGTCCACGATTTCAGAGGCTTTGCAGATGATGTTGGGGAAGTGACACAGACAGTGGTAGACCTTGGGAATCAACTCCAGCTTGATATTCATGAGGATGATGTCACACAGATGCTTGAGTCTCATGCTGAAGAATTAAACAATGAGGACCTGAATAAACTGGAGAAGCAAATTTTGTCAAAGGAAGATGAAACTCCAGAACCAAAGTGATTCATTACAATAGAAATGGCAGAAGGTTTCAGGCTTATTGATGAAGGATTGTTTAAATTTGAACAGCAAGATACCAACACCGCAAGATTCACCAAGGATCATAAGGGGTATTACTGAAGGTCTACGATGCCACAGAGAGATTTATGATGAAAAGAAGAAAGTTTCAGTTCAACCATCACAATAAAGCCTCTGTCACTCCTACAAATGCCCATCTCTACATGCAAGCCATCTCCATTATTCAATGTAATTGTTATACTTTAATTTTTACTTTACTGTACTGTATTTTGTCATTCAATTTCTTCTTTTCTCCTAATTTAAATGATTCAAGGTGTATAAAAGGACTTGAGCTATGATATAGTGCACATAGGGTATGTGTTCTGACTTATGTACATTTCTGACTTAAGGGCGGCCTCAGGAACAGAGCCTGTAACTATGGCTGTGAGGTGGTATGGTTTTTTCAACTCGTATTTTCGGGTAGATATACATAACTTTCTTCATTTATTTTTACTCGGCTACATGCACACACCATCCTACATATATAGTGAAAAAGTACAGTGTTACACCACAATTATCAACGTCCTTCATGTTGGGTTGGCTAGATGGCTACAAAAGAAATTTTGTAAGTTTGATCTATGTATCAACCCAGCCAGCGCTCAGATGCCATTCGTTCTAGGGACAGTAACTTTTACGAGGAAAAAATTGGAGTATGGCAACCCAACCAACTCGACTTTAATAACAAAGCATGGAGTTGACTTGAGGGTAGACTCACATTTTTTCTACATTTGGTTTTCATGTTTCTGATTATTTTTCTGGGTGGCTAAACACACACACACGTACACACAGTACAACTGTGTCTTTGTTAGATGTGACTTTGGCGAGGGTATCAACTCAGTCATGTTCTTTGAGGCCTATGTGAGAGGGGATCCACAACAGTTTGATCTTGACACCTCGGTCAACAAGGTACGCATATTTGTGTCTGACTTCAGAGACAAGAGCGTGACAACTTGAGGGTGTCAAGGGCAAGTAGTGAGGATAGCGAGTCAGTGGTGATGAGACTGTCAGTGACGGTGGTTTCAATAAATTTAATAGCTGTGAGTATGGCAACTAATTCAGTTTGTAGAATGGATGCCTAGTTGTTAATTCTAACTCCTTTCTCAATTATATTACCGTCAGGTTGAGTCACAACAATAGCACTTCCAGCCCTCCCACAGGCGGTGTTAAGAGATCCATCAGTGTAGATGGTCTGTGTGATATTATCATCAGTCTGTAGAGTGTGTATGTGTTCAAGAGTTCTCACTTTGGCAGTGTGTTGGAGATAAATGCTTTGTATAATTAATTTTTTAGGCGGATATGTCGGTAGTGTGATATCGAAGGGAACTGTCCGCCAGGGTGGCAGGAAGCGCTGTTGTGTCTCAACTTTGTACAGGTGGTCTAGTCCAAACATCTTCATATGTTTAGCTGTAGTTTGGATCCATTTAGACTCAACAGTCCCATGGTTCATACATTCTAGCAATTTTAAGGAAACAATGTTATCAGGATCACCACGCAGAAGTCTCAGGACTATCATGAGGCTGACTTCTATTATTCTATCTTGGACACTGGGTATACCTAGTTCTTTCCTCATATTAAGTACTTTAGTGCTCATGGGACATCCAAGGATAATTATGAGGGCTTTATTTTGCATTTTTTCGAGCTTGTCAACGCCTTTCCTGTCACAAAGTACCAGGGCCGGTGCATGGTAATCTATCAGAGATCTTATATAGCCTAGGTACATTGTTTTAACAATTCTAATATTAGCATCATAATGTGGGCTGTACCCCGCTACACTTCTAAGAGGTCTCAGTCTGTCAGTACATTGGCGGGTTAGCTGTTGTATGGCAGGTAGGGTACAAGGGACGGAGACACCAAGATATTTAAAAGAAGAAACATAGTCAATAGTGTTGTTACCTATCTTGAATTTGGCGGGGCCGCGTTTACGGTTGCCAGTTTCTTTGTCGAAGAAGACTAAATGTAAAGTGTGTGGCCAGATATGTGGCCACACACTCGAACACTACGTCCTCGACTGTGTGAAGATAGAACCTTTTAGGGACAGGTCCAAGCACACTGTGTGTGAAATGGCACACCACTTCATCTCTAATGGCAAAATAGCTGACATATTAAGATTGTATCCACTTTTTTGCACTTAGTAGCTATGTCAGTTCTCATGTACAGAACCAAATATACAATGTGCTTGAATACTTCTCATGCAAATGTGAATAACAAAGTGTGTGGCCAGATAAACTGCCTCACACTACTGTACTCATGCAGTTGTGAATAAGTTACCCTTTATGTATAGAACTAAGCAAAGAATTATTTTTTAACACTCTGTAACATTCAATGCCATAACAACCTAACCACGGGGACTAGTTATACAGACCATTTGTGAACTCTACTCTGTAATCCTTTTGCGCTACCGCTCACAGGATGAGTGTGGGGTGTACAATAAACTAGCCGCTGTAAGTGGCTAAATAAGAAATATACAGTACAGGTAAAAGAAATAATTGTCCTAAGGGTAAACAATTCTTTGCACACGAGTAAAAATATACCCCCCCCCCCCTAGTCAGCAAATGATATGGTTTTGGCAATTTAGGGCCATTTTGAGACCCAAACTCCTGCAAATTTTAAGGGCATACTGTACAAGTACTGTACTGTAATGCACTGCACTGCACTGTATGCACAGTACTGTACTGTTCTGCACTGTATAAGGCAGTTGTCTTGGAAATGTTGCAGCCATTTTCCAACATGGCAGCTACAATATTATGCATTTTAAAAACTAATGAAATGAATAAATGAAACAGCCCATCTAACTTTTACTTAAATACAATATATTCTACTGTCACTAGGTTTGGTAGGTTAGTTTTGTGCACAGTATTCTGAAAGGTGGTTACCTTGATTTTTCACTCCAAATAAATTTGAAAACTCTTAAGTTTGAGTGAGTAACATGATAGAAGTTAGTGAGTAGAACAGCACTTTTCCTGTGATAATTGTAGAAAATCTGCAATAAAATGAGTTGACATCAACCATAATAGTGCCTTAGACCGCTACTGCTAATAACAACTTGTTGAAGAAATGTTTATGTATACTATATATTACTTACTTTGCCAAGATGGAGATCCACAGCTGCACAAAGCCAGCAGATGTACCTGGGGCACATAGTTGAGTGGGAATTAAATGTTAAATTCAGTATCAATATTAATAATGTCCTGTATAAAGCTGTTAGGAAGGTTACAGTGAGTTGAATGATGAGTATGATTGTTTACCCTTACAGGTACACTGAGCCTCACCAGTGTGGTCTTGGAGCAACTGTCTGTTACGTTCTCACTCGTACATTCACTGATGACTTTTATAATTATCACTTATCCTTATGCAGGTAAGACTTGTGTTTTTAATCAGAACTGTAAGTGGTCATGACTTTTATGGATTATTTGATTACACTGTAGAGGATTGAATGAATCTATCTAGGGAACATATCATGAATGCTCTTTGTATTGTATTTCAGGTTTACACGTTGAGACACTGTTAAATGAATTGCGATCCCCCTTGTTGAGATATTACCCCCGCACTTGTGCAGACGTGAAGCACCTCGTGTCCGTCATGCTCCAGTGCTGTGTCCTCTCTACCTCAGCCAGTATTACTTACGCTTTGCCACACCCAACTCAGGTATGTTACAAAGGCATTAACACTTTGCCACACCCAACTCATGTATGTTACAAAGGCATTACGAGAAAAAAAATTTGCACTATACCATTAAGATTTATGTTTGGTTACTTCTGAATTAAAGTGTTGGCCTCGCTGTCAACATGTTGCCTACCTGTGACATTGATTATAAAATAGCATTAACTTGTTTCTAGCATGCTTTGGAACTATTGGACGAGGACACTGGACCAGGTGGTGAAGGAGGGGAGCATCAGGCTGATGAAACAGATGGTTATGAAGCTGACACTGAGCAGTTGGCAAATGCCTGCCCATCATCTACAAGGTAAAGCAGCTTGGTGATTCTTCTGGCACACACACACACAACACACACACACACACACACACATACACATACACATACATACTGTATACATACATGTATCTGCCTATCTGTCACCAGCCTTCCAGTACCATTCATTCTACAGAAACCATAGATATATTTTTCAAACTTAGAGGATAGTTTGATCATAATCCACAATAAATATACTTCTGGAGATGATAAAGGATGGTTGACTGGCAGTAGATCAAACATTTGCCGACACTGGTTAGGGACATGTAGTTGTGTGCAGTACAACTTGTTTTATTTATTCTTGTAATAAAAAATATACTGTACTGTAGAGTAAACTAAAATATCTGTTTTTCTGTAATAGGTCCTTGCATGAAGAGGAAGACTTGGAGTGTCCTGAGCTTGTCCTCCTGGCCTTAGACCTGATCATCAGCCACCATGAGAGGTTCCTGGAGTCACAGGAAGAGGCACAACAAGAAGCAGATTCCAGGGCACAAAACCGCTCCAGGGCCGAGGACCAACCTCTGCCTGAAGACCATCGTATACTTGAGAGCAACTCTGGTACTGACAAACACTCTGGGGTGGTCCATTCAGAAGCAGATGACCATTCTGAAGATAACATTCACTTTTTATATGATAACCAGTCAGGGAATGAGAAGCATCCTGTGTGTGATGATCTCTCTCAGCATGATGACCAACATGAGAACCTGTCTGTTACTGAGGATCATTCACATACAGAAGATCAAGTCATAGTTGAGGACCAATCTTTACCTGAGAAACAGGACACCGCTGAGGATCAGTCTTTATTAGATAAGGACCAGCCTTTAACTGTAGACCAATCTATAATTGAGAACCAGTCGGCAGCTGAAGACCAGTCCCCAGCTGAAGACCCGTCAGCTGCTGAGGACCAGCCCCTAACTGAAGATCAACCTGTATTTGAAGACCAGTCCCCAGCTGAAGACCCATCAGCTGCTGAGGACCAGCCCCTAACTGAAGACCAATCCCTAGCTGAAGACCAGTCAGTTGCTGAGGACCAGCCCCTAACTGAAGATGAACCTGTGTTTGAAGACCAATCCATAGCTGAAGACCAATCCCTAGCTGAAGACCAGTCAGTTGCTGAGGACCAGCCCCTAACTGAAGATAAACCTGTGTTTGAAGACCAATCCATAGCTGAAGATAAGCCCATAGCAGAAGACCAGCGCCTGGCCGAAGATAAACTCATGGCTGACAACCAGCCTGTTATTAAGGACCAACATGACAAAAAAATTGTAAAGAACAAGAAAAGAAATTTGAGAGAAGGAATTAGACCTAAATCAAAAAGGTCATTGACCCAGAGCACATCTGTGGCAGAGAGTAATTCATCTGCTTCATCTGTGTATCACACACTTCACTCTGATGAAGATGGCAGTGCTGAAGAGCAAGCATCTGACTGGGAGGATGGGTTATGTAGAGGGGACGGCAGATCTGATGTAACGAGTAGTACAGTAGTGGAAAACTCGACCGGGAGTGTAAATGCGAGATCAACAAATTCATCTAGTGGTGAAGTTATTCATACCAAGTATTGTCGTGATGGCTTAAAAGGCCTCAAAGTGATAAATGGGCTGCCAGGAGCCAACGTTCAATCTGGATCTGTAGTTGAAAACAAGCCTTTAGATGTTCCGTGCTCTGAGGCAGCATCATCCTCACAAGTGTCACACAGTGGGTCTTTTTCTCGCTCTCTATCTGGCTATGGGCTGTGCAGTGAGAGTGAAGTGGCTCACAGTGCCTCTCTCACCCAGTGTGTTCATGCTTTACTGCTCTTATGTCGCTCTTCAGCGAGTGTTTGTCGTCGACTCCACAGCCTGGGGTTCCTGTCGAGACTTCTGGATGGATTTAATGACCTAATCTCTGTCAACACTCCTGACTATCAAGGTAAATCTTATTTTATTTGTATTAGAGGAAAGCTGAGTTTTTTGTTTAGTAGTACGGTAGTACTGTAGTAGTAGTTGTAGTTTCCACATCTCAAAATAGGATGGTATGCTTTTATGAAATTTTTATGGATAAGGGCTCTTGATACTGTACTTAAAGTAGATACGTGAAGGGATTTGTAGTTTTTTTTTGTAATACAGTTACTGTATCTGAAATTAAATTAACATCAAGGTCATTATAAAATGTTTCAGAAACCAATTCATGAAGTTGTGTGATCTTTGAATAATTCTTAGATTTTTTTGCAAGTCGCCTTATATTTTTAAAAAATTTCCTGAATGAATGACACTGGTGTTTGATTCAAGCTTGTGAAGTAAGTATAGATTCGAACAACCACGAGGTTTTTTTAGAATTAAAGCAAGTTTTAGTTTACAGTACAGTGTGCAGTGACCAACTGACCATCCAGTATTTTGTCTTCATCCTCCACAATGAAAGACACATCAATCTACTCCCTCACCCACTAACACCACCTGCACACCACCCACCCACCCAGTGCATTGTTCAGTTGCTGCTGTCAAGAAATTATTTCCCCTGCAGACGTTCACCTGTTTATGAGGTGTTCAGCCCCCACACCACTCCACCCCCATTCATCTCATTAGTGCAGATCTTGCTCAAGCTTCCCCGTGTACTGTGACGCATTGGTTCCCCACCAGGAAACATTTTCTTTTAATGGGTGTGAATTTGTTTTTTAACTGCTCCATTCAGTGTAGATCTCAGAACTGTTAATTAAGATGGTGGTCATCAGTCCCACCAGCTATTTTAATAATAATAATTAACGGTTTATTGAAAAAGTCGGCAGCCCGAAGGCTGAAAATATACATTGGACAAAAATGACTTATTACATACAAAGACATAGGGTGGGTGGGTCGTTTAACAAAAGCTTTCATTTCTGAGAAAAGAAGGAACATGAATTGAATATACAAATTATTATAGTTTACAGTTGATGGCCCGGGCCTGGACCGGTCATGGAGACACCAGGTGGTGTGGTGCTCACGTGGTGTAGTAACTCGTCCTCGGGTGTTGATATGAAGGACCTCACGTGGTCATGGGGTCACCTGGTGGTGTGGTGTTCACGTAGTGCAGTAACTCGTCCTCGGGTGTTGATATGAAGGACCTCACGTAGTCATGGGGACACCGGGTGGTGTGGTGTTCACGTAGTGCAGTAACTCGTCTTTGGGTGTTGATATGAAGGACCTCACATGGTCATGGGGACACCGGATGGTGTGGAGTGGTGTCACAGTACCCCACCCTACTGGGTGTTGTGTTATTTCGAAGTCAGGAGTGAAGCCGACCCACTGTTG